CTATTCACACTGTTGTGCAACCAACTTACAGAAGTTTTCATCTTACAAAACCCAAACTCTGTACCCATTAAACAAAAACTCCCCACTTCCCTCTCCCTCCAGCCCCTTTTACCCTCATCCTGCTTTCTGTTTCTACTTTTGTTTCTTTTCTTTCTTTCTTTCTTTTTTTTTTGAGACAGAGTCTCATTATGTCACCCTGGGTAGAGTGCCGTGGAGTCACAGCTCACAGCAACCTCCAACTCTTGGGCTTAAATAATTCTCTTGACTATTTTTTGGTTGTAGTTGTCATTGTTGTTTAGCAGGCCTGGGCTGGGTTCGTACTCACCAGCCTGTGTGTATGTGGCCAAAGCCCTAGCCATGAGTGCTGAGCCTTACGCTCTATTTCTATAATTTGACTACCCTGGGTACTTCCTATAAGTGGGATCACACAGTATTACAGAACTGTCTTTTTGTGCTGTCTTATTTCACTTCACATACGGTCCCTAAGCTTCATCCATATTGTGTAGCATGTGTCAGGATTTCTTTCCTTTTTAAAGGTTAAAAATATTCCACTGTGTGTATGAGCCATATTTTATTTATCCATTTCTCCATGGATGGACTCTGGAGTTTCTTCTACTTTGGCTGTTGCGAATACTGTGGCTGTGAACATTGGTGTGCAAACAAATGCATTAGTTCCTGCCTTTAATTCTTTTGAGTACATACTCAGAAGTGGAATTTCTGGATCATATGGTACCTTTGTTCAATTGTTTGAGGACCCTCTATACTATGTTCTATAGCATCTGCTATGGACGGTTTTACATTTTGACCACCAGAGCACAAGAGTCCCAATTTTACCACATCCTCACTCCTGGATTTTTAATGCTTTCATGTTTTTTTCAAAATGTTGCACAGATGCACGATTCAGGTCAGGTAAACACTGTCTGTAACCTGGAACTGTCCTGTGCACAGTGACAGGTGGCCACAAGCCCCTGACAGAATGCATGCTCCGTAATCCCCATCAACAAGAAATGCTTCTAGATGGCATGAGTTGTCAAGAGTGATGTCTGCACAGCACGCAGCTCTGGGCTCAAGGCCCTTCCTTCCCCCTGCTCTTTTGTGCAGTGAGGTAATACCCTCCCATCATTAACTTTTCCTGTTAAAGGACATTTCATAGTAACAGAAAAAAAATTGGAGGGAAAAAATATTTTGTGTTTCTGAGTGAGTCTGGTTCATGAATACCCAGAAAATCCTGGTCAAGCTTCCCTAAGAAAAGTAGATTTTCTTCTGAGCAGAAGTGTATCACCCCCTTCCAGTGGGTCCTTGGTACATCCTGACTGAATTGCCTCTGACAGCCGAGACAGAGGGAAATGCCCCCCCAGTCAACTTACCATTTTCATTTGTGACTCAAAGTCATATCGATCTAATCATCTGTAGCCTCATAGGGACAGAGCACAGTGTTGAATGACGGTTGTATGTTTGTTTTGTCACCTAAGGAAAATGTGTGAAATTTAGAAATACAGCAGAGTGCTGCATAACCACCTTGTGGTCAGTGATGAACTTCAAGTACGACGACGTCCCGTAAGATTGTAATGAAGCTGCCCTAACAGGTGTACCTTTTTTTACAATCTCTTATACTATACTTTTACATTGCCTTTTACTATGTTTAGATCTAGAAAGTCTTACCACTCGGTTACATTTGCCCACAGTACTCAGTGCAGTGTCATGTTATTCAGGTTCATAGCCCAGGAGAATCAGGCTCTACCATGGAGCCTGGGTGTGTAGTGGGCTAAGATGTTCCCAGGATGACGAAGTCCCCTAATTTGTTAGAAAGTGTATCCATTGTTAACACATGTAACATGGAGGGAACAATCCTTTGCCTTCTTGAACACTGCAGACTACTCTGGAACGCAGGGCAGGCTCAAATGCAGACGGAGAAGATCGGTGTTTGTAACTCTCTGCCTTTGTTCAGCTTCATGGGACATCAGTATTCCCAAGAAAGAGGACTTCCTGTGACAATGGACAGCCTGCATTTAGAAAACTATTTGAAGAGACACACATATACAGTTCCATTTGGGGAATGCTATAGGAAAACTGTCTGCTTTTGATTTGATGGGCTGTGCTTCTAGAAAGGAGGTTTCTAGATCTTTAACTCTTCCTTCTATGATGAGGTATTTGTGTATGAAGTTGGGCCTCTGGAGATCCACTGGACAGTGTCATAGATGGCCATGATTACAAGACACCACAGGAATTAAATCATTTAAATAATGTCTAAGTCTGTAAAGATGAGATTGCAGATGTGACTGCATTTCCTTACTGGGGTCAGTGCTGTTGTGTACAGCTTGCCTTAAGCAGCCCCCAGGTGATTCTGCATGGCCAAGGGGTCTCTCCACTGTTGTAAGAAAGAAAGGGCAGGAGGGAAAGAGAAAGGGGGAGGGTGGGCAGGCAAGGAGGAAAGAAGGAAAGACGTAATGTAAGTGAGGAATGTGTAAAGTGCTTTCTGTGTCTTACTTTTTTTTTTTTTCTGTCCAGGTTTTGAACCTGGGATATGTGTAGTACTTTATTCAGTCTAAGTAGGCTCTCATCTTTATTTTATAAAAGAAAAAACTAAGGCTCAGAGAGGTTAAGTAACTTGTCCAAGTCATATAGCCAGCAAGTGGCTGGTCTGAGAAGTGAGACTAGGTTAACCCTCTTTGCATAGAACTTCCCTGCTGAGATGGTAGTTTGCAGGTTCTTAGTTTATATAAACAAGACCAAGGCAGTGGTGTCATCATCTAAAGATACTCAAGATAATCTCTACTCCTGTCCCCTCTCTGGTGCTGGCTTTTCTTCTCTGGAAAATAACATCAGTCCATATTGTTGGCAGGAAACCCTAATAACTGCAGGGCAGCGTGAGGGTGTAGGAGAAGCAAACCCAAACGATTTAAGCTCAAATTTTGAAGGCTACAGGGTATCAACAACTAAAACATTTTAAGTGGAAGATAGATTTTAATCTCTAGTACAGAAAAGCATACAAATGTCCGCACATTGCAAAAGCAGTGCCAGTAGCTTGCTAGCTACCAGCAGTTTCCCAGAGATTCTACACTTCTGGAGAAATATCTTACCCGACTTGTTTCACCTTTGAGATATTTGAGAACAGCTGTCATGGAATTTTCCTCTAGATTAGAAAGTGCTTCTGAAAAAAAAGAGGCTATAAAACGGACCCTGATGGTCTGTTCCCGCAGGCAGAATTCACTCCTACTGAATGGTTAGAAAAGTATCAGTGACACACCCAGGTCACATGTTTTCTGTGTGTGCTTGCAGGTTTCTTAGGATTAGTGAGGGCGAAGTGGCTATGGTGAGGAAAAGAAGAGTTTAATCTGTACGAATAGGCACCAGATTCTGTCACGATGATGTTTATTCCACTTCAGTTTCAAGGACATTGAGGAATCTAACCCCTTACCGGTAGAATCTAGTAATTTCAAAAAGCCCAATTTCCCTTCATGTCTCAAGTACTCCTTCACAGAACACTCCATACTGAAGTTTTTTCCCACTGTGGCTAGTATACTTTCATGGCCCTGCTTAACTTCCCAGCAGAGAGCAAGGTGACAGAGTGAGTGAGGCGTGGTCCCAAAGCCGTCAGGACGTGGGGTAATTTTATTGCTCTTGACCTCCCATCCCCAGACATACGTTTAGGGTAACATCTGATGAAGTGCAAGCCAAGAACTTACTTTTCTGTCAAAACTATTAGTGAGTGGTAACAAAACGACATCCTTAACAAAGTTCTGCTTTGTCTGTGCCAGATACCGTCCATTCAGCTTCATGGGCTTCATAAAATCGCCTGGGGCTTCTGAGCTGAATGCGCCTGGCTACCTCATTGCTTTGAAATCAGTGGCATTCTAATTTGTTGCAATAGTGTTACCGGCAACATCCTCAGAATGTGTCTGCTCATTTATCCTCCGTTCTCCTGGGAGGAACTGTTTGTCATGGTACCTTTAAAAAGAAAGAGTTTGAGTTTATAAAATTAAACTGTATTTCAGCAAGACTTCCTTTTATGATTGTCCCTCATTCCATTAAGTTATTTTTAAAACCCATAACAACATGAATAAAATATTACTTATTCAGATTAGGTTAATAATTAATTCAGAATCATAATTTGTGTCTGTCAGGTATTTATAAAACATAGTTATCTCTTTAGAAATAGTTGGTATTAGATTTGATTTGATATAGATGTTCTCATTTGATTGTATTAACTAGAGAAAAAAATTCCTTCTTGATTTGCCCCAAACAAGCCGCAGTTTTTTAAAAATTATACTAAGGGTATATAACCTTGGTAATATATATACACACATATATATATATATATATATACACACATATAATAAATATAAACTTCTTACTTTAGCAGTGGAGGGATTACTTTAATAGGCCCCGAAATGTCACATGGTATAGCAAGTCAGTTAAATTAGGGATTTGTTTTTATTTTGAAAGCTTCTGTCAACCCAAATTTCCGTTAGTGTCAGTGAGACGTTTCTGTATAAGTGGATTTTTTGTAAAAAGTAGGCTGGATTCTTTTCCCCAAGAGCTTCCCTCCACTGCATGTACTACTTTTGCTTCTTTGTGTATCGTGAGTGTGAATTATTTTCATGGCTCTTGGCCACAGCCAAGATAACCTGAGTTTTCTTCCCATCCCCAATAATACAGGGTGTCCCAACAGTCACTAGACATAGGCACATGGGAAATTATAGCTAAATGTACCTTTAATTACGAAATATTCATTACAAAATTTTACAAAATATGCTTTACCTGTTGGCCACCTCCTTGTAAAATTTTGTAATGATTATTTTATACATAAAAGGACATATAGCTACGATTTCCCATTTTCCTTATGCATGGCAACTGTTGGGACAGCCTGTAAGTATGCCCCATATAATGATAATAATAACTATTATTATTATTATCCTTTCTTCTCAGTAAAAAAGTGACTGGGCCAATCTAAAAAGGACCAGCTTCCTTCTCTGATTCTCTTTTTTCTCCTGTTGCAGATTGGATTTGAAACCCCTCCCCTCCAGGGACAGGCTGCAGCTTCTGGGAGTGGGAATGGAGCTGACTCTGAGCCAGCTCGCCATGTCTTCTCCTTTTCCTGGTTGAACTCCCTAAATGAATGACATTCATTCCAACTGCTGCTGCTGTGCCTGCCCGGCTGAGATGCGCACAGGCAGCGGGGAACCTAGGTGGATTACTATGATACAGATAATGAAAGGGACCGCTGAACAGGATTTCTGCAGGAAAAAAAACAACAACAACAACTGTAATTCCAGATGACTTATCAAACACATTGGGGAAAAAGAATACTCTGAGAAAATAGTTGCAGAAAACACTGGAAAAAAGAAACTTGATCTTTTTCAAATCTTTTATTGTGTGGGAAACATGAAGGCTATGTAGGTGTGGTACATGTGTGTGTCATAAAAAGTAGCAAGTGTTGAAAAAAGTGGGCACTACACTTTCGTCCTAACAGGCACCGGCTTTTGTTATTATATCATAGTAGCTCTTATGTACCTTCTCCTCTTTAATAATGCAGGTGGTCAGTGAAATTCAGTGTCCATTCGGACGGGACTGATTTAGCAATATATAGACAAAAGGTAAATCATTGACCAAAGCTATGAAATGGTTCACAAAGGTTTCCTCTTTTTCCATAATAGATGTCATGGGATAGTAAATCCAGAAATGTTCTTTGAATCCGGTGACACTTTCACAGTCCAGAGGCTGACAGCCTAGGACATCTCTTATAACATCTTCCTAATCTTAGTTTTAGGTAACATTAGGCACTTTAATTTAAAAAGGCCTTTCAGCGGGAACTGTCTGCTTTCTCATGTGTCTACTGTGGCACCAATCTGGTAAATTATAGAAAAAGTGCATGTATTTAAATATATGTACACACATATCACACATTAAAATATATAGAGATGTATTTTAAACCGTGTTTTATTTGTCTCACCTTAATACCCCCTTCAGAATATAAGTGTAACTTTACTGTTTATGAACTCTTTAATAAATGCTGTTTTTAAAAACTTAGTCTTGGCAGCACCTGTGGCTCAGTGGGTAGAGCGCCAGCCCCATATACTGAGGATGGTGGGTTTGAACCTGGCCTCAGCCAAACTGCAACAAAAAACTCGCCAGGTGTTGTGGTGGTGCCTGTAGTCCCAGATACTTGGGAGGCTGAGGCAAGAGAATTGCCTAAGCCCAAGACCTGGAGGTTGCTGTGAGCTATGACACCACAGTACTCCACCGAGTGCAACAAAGTAAGACTCTGTCTCAAAATTAATTAATTAATTAATTAACTTAGTCTTATGATTTACTCTGTGTTTCATATTATCTTATTAATCTATTAGATAAGTGTATTTCAAGGGTCCCAGGGGAAGAAGCCTCTTTATTACAGACAAATTGATTTTGAAGTATTAAAAATTTGATTGAATTTTTAAGCTATAACTAAATTAGCACAAGCAAAATGCATTGTAAAACTAATTAGACATGCTGTTCAGTTTTAGAAGTGAATAAAAATAGTTCATATTGCCAAAAATCAAAATGATTAGAATTGGCATAGGCATAAATGTGGAGAGTATTTGGGCAGTTATTAAGGTAAAAGTGTTCTTTATAAGAATATTTTTTCCCAAGTGCCATAACAATTAAATTTCAATGTCCTAAGTGGAGATGCTATCAAGTTTTCTTATTAGAAGTAATCATTGGAAAATAGCTTAGAAATGGTACCAAAGTAATAGTTTGGTAAAGTGAGCCTTTCTTATAGGAAAAAAAATGTAGTATTTTGGTCATATAGTTTAGAAGACCCTTCTCTTTTGCTTTCATCTCTCCCTACTCTCCTCAATTATTTCACATCTTATAATCAATCAAGGTTAAATGTTATTATCATTATAAATTGATCTTTCCTTTGTAGAATTAGACCTGGAAGCAACTCAGATTATTTAACTCAACCTCAGAGTAGTTGTCTGAGGCACAGAGAGGAGCCCAGGGTGATCGATTGCACAATCCATGTAAGCAGCTGACATGTTTGTATTTTCAGTAGAAGATAAACTGCAGGAAGTTTTGTTTTGCCTGTTCCTTGTTGTAAAGGCAATTTGGAAGAAGCTAAGAACTGAGAGTATTTGCAATGTATGAACACTGAACAAGAAAAATAAAGTCACAATTACCTTTGCCACTTTTATTAAAAATATAAATATTCAGCATTCTCTTACACAACCAAACTGACCAAGGATTGGAAAGATGTTTTATTACTGAAACGTTAACAAGAAAAAGTTGATTGAAAGAGCTTACAGATCTTGTCTTACCCACCCAAGAAAATGGCATTCTCTTTGACTCAAACCTTAGCAAAAACAGTTGGGTGACTTCTGTCTGCTTCTTCAAAACGTCTCCCCCCCAACCCATCTACATTCTCTTTAAAACACCAATAAAAGACACCTGCAAGTGGAAAGTAAAAGTAGACAATAGGAATAACATTGTGTTGTTACTGCACATGAATACACTTTGTGCATGCTAATTAAGGGGAATAGGCTCTCTTCCTGTACATCCTCTATGTTTCAAGCTATATAAAAATAAACAAATGGTATCAGAGCAGCGTTATGGTACAGAATAGTGTGATTTTTTTTTAATTTTTTTTTTTTTTGCTAAATACAGAATTTTTTTGGCCAAACGCACCTTTTCATTTTCCAATAATCTCCATCAGTTTCCTGTTGCTGTGAGCTTGCTGTGCTAACTGCTCCGCCCGGGCCATTTCCAAGACTTCCCGCAGAAGGTGGAAGGTGAGATCCAGGGAGATGGGCGGCTCCTCAGACCGCCTCTCCCTCTCGGGTGCCTCCTGGTGGCCGCCGAGGGCGCTGTCGGCGCCGCGCTCCGCGACACCCGCGGGGCTGTCGAGCGAGCGCCGAGGCAGCAGCAGCTGCTGCAGCAACACGCGGAAAAAGTTGGCTGCCGCCTGGTCCGGCGAGGGGCGGCTGCCGCTGGCTAGGAGCGAGGAGGCGGGCGACAGGGGAGCCGCGGGGCTCTTGTTGAGGTTGCCCAGGCGGAGGAAGTATTCCTCTCCCATGCGGAGCAGGACCGGCCGAGGCTGCGGCTGCTGGGGCTGCTCGGACTGAGGCGGCGGCGGCGGCGGCTGGAAGAAATCCAGGGGCTGGGGGGACTGCGGAGCCTCTCGGGCTCCGGGGCCTGGCCCCCTGCTGAGGAGGGCCCTGCATGGCGGACAGGGCAGGAGGGCCACCAGCAGCACGCCCGCGGACACGAGTAGCGGCAGCCGCATGTTAGGGGCGCTTGCTGCGGCACAGAGTGGGGCGGAGGGCGGAATGAGAAGGGAAGAGAGAAAGAAGAGTTGGTCAGAGTTCAGCTCCACTGGGAGGTGCTTTCGGGGTTTACCTACAGGACACCCACAGACATGCCAGGCTCTGGCCTCGCGGGTTCGGGTGGGCGCTGTCCGCGGTGCTGAAGCGCCTAGGGAGCGGGAAAAGGGACGGCTGCAGCGCTAGGCACCAAAGCTCACGCCCTCGCCAGGCAGAGAGTGGCCCTTCTTTGGCGACCCCGAAGGGACGGTCCCTGCGTCCTCTTCTTAAGTATCCCCAGAACTGATCCCCCCGAGCCTAGCCAAGAGCTCCAAATGTAAGATGTCGCTGGCGATGACCAACTCCCTTCCGGATATTTAAACATTTTCTACCAAATCGAGAACTGCCTCCGGCTCCCCTCCCTCCCTCCCTACCCTTGCTTCCTTCTCTGGGGGTCAGGATAGATCAGGGCAGGGGACGTCCTTTATACAACCAGCCAGGAGCAGCTTGGGGATCGGGTAACTAACTATAAGCAGCCGTCTAAGTTTGCTTTTGCTACATCCCAGCTACTATTGGAATCTTAAGGCACAGTCAGCGAACACACACGCACACACACGCCTGCCCCGGGCACCAGCCCACCGCGCGCACCACAAGTTGGCGGCGCCGTCCGTCAGGTGCTCCTACCTTCCCAGGCGCTGCGCAGGTGAGCCGGGGCTGCGCCTCTCTGCAGAGAAGTCTCTGGGGCTTTCTCTGGAGCTTTTCTTTCCTTCTCCTTCCTGTTCCCCGTCTCTTTTTTTCTCTCTCTCTCCTCTCTCCCTTCAGTCTCTCAAGAGACTTGGGCTCGGAGTTTTTCCACACCAGAGCCTGGAGTGGGATTTTATAGCGTCGACCCTCTTCAGAAAGCACGCAGCATTTGCCTAATAAGCTGACGCTCTCTTGACAGCTCGATTGCGTGCTGCCTCTGCTCCTGCATAAATCATAGGGCCCTGCCAAAGAGCGAGGGGCAGAGTTTTGCTATCTCAACACTGAATCTCACATCCAATTATATCAACAGATATTTATCGCCTTTTTGGTGACGTCAACGAGCCCTAAAATGGAAGGGCTTCTTATGACTTGTCCATTGACAAAAATTCTTGAATGAAATTTCCCAAGTGTGAAAACATACTGACCTCTTACTATGAAAGGCCAAAAGAGGGGTTGGAAAAAAGACAGCAAACGGCAGGAGCAAGGGGAAAGGAGAAGGGAGGGAGGCCTCCCAATGCAGTCCTGCCAGGAGAGCAGCAGCCAGGTGGAGGGAGTGGATCTCCTGTCCCTTCTAACATCTCTGACAAGTTGTCTCTGACAATCCCTGGGTGTCTGAAAATACCCCCTTCCTCAAGGCAAAGAGTCCCACCATCTTTCTGCCTGGAGAAGAATGAAGAATCAGGAGATGGGAGGGCAGGAGCATCCACCTTTTAAACTTATCTGCTTTTTCCTCCTGAGAGCAGATAAAGGAATTTTGAGTCCACAGAGGCAGGACCAATTAAGTCTCTTACAAAGCAGCTCAAGTTTTTCAAATGATGACGAGAGCTACTACCCCCAAGATAAAGGGGCACACAAATCCAGGTTAGGAGCACAGCAAAGATGTCAGGGTCTCTCAGAATCTCACTGTCCCTCCTTTGTTTCTCCCCTCAGAATTTGAAATTAACTGTGGACTTTTCTGTTCCCAAATTAAAGAGAGAGGGACAGTGAGATGTGCCTGAGTTAAACAATCTTTACTTAGCCTACTCGGTGCAAACCCAGGGAGAGAGGCATTCATTCTAACTTCCTATTCTATGTTTATGTTGGAACAGGCTTACGCTGCTTGATAACAGGGCTGAATTCATTCAGTTGCACATTTTTGTTGATGAATGTTGAGTCTGTAAAAGGGTAATCTCATTCATTTCACCCCCAAATACTACTAGCATCCATGATGGTATTCACATCAGGGGCACTTATCTTGCTATTTTTATCATTTCTATTCCCAAATTCAGATGTGCTCTAGGTGAGCCTGATAAATAAATAAATACTCTCAGGGACTCTCACAGAATGAAAGGCTAAGCCTATAAAACCACACCCAAATTTTGAGTTGATTTGACACTATCACATAGGTGGGAGGCAGTTACCTCTAATTCTGCAATTCAAAATTCATTTCCAAACTCTGGTATCTGTGATTCGATTCGGCTTCTAGAGAACCATCAGAGTTGTTTATCAGAAATTTCCCATTCCTTATTTCTGGTTACCTCTGCTTCTTTTGTAGCTAAAATGACAAATGATACCATGCATATTTCAATTCCTATTTTGGGTCGCTACCAATCCACAACTGCTCTTAGAAACAAAAGGAAAGCAGAGAGAGAATGCTGACAGTTTCCAGAGAAGCCAGCCCGTAGCTGGATCACTGCAGTATGTTATGTACTTCTGACATAGAGAACAGGAAAAGAAACGCGCCTACTGGGAAGGATATGAGTTCTTAATAGGAGATCATGATTATGAAAAATGGTTGAGCTTCTGAAGGAAAGCTGTGTCTACAGTGGTAGGGTAGCATATGGAGCTTTCGTTTTTATTGTTGTAGGCTTTTTTTTTAAAGTTGAAATACAACTTAAAATCAATATTTTACTTTACTTTCCTTTATGACCCTTTCTCCGTCTCTGTTAGCAGATTTCAGCTTGGATGTCAATCTGGAGGTGAAAAGTTGACTTGGAAGTAGAAATTTGCAATAAATGGACACA